TCGTATTACCTTAAATTTTCTACGCTGAGTGGGTAAGTAAGCAAACGGTCTACTCGTCCCTCAGCTGTTATTATACTTCCCAAGGAAGTCCACAACAATGCACCCGGTAAATAAGAATTCTGTGGAAAATCACTGCAAATCCTTGGAACAGTAAAATCTGAAATGACGTCCAGAGTGGAAACGCGTAGAATGCCGAAGTATTTTCTATACTGTATTTTCACCGCTCTATAGAGATAACCTATTTCTCGAAAGTCCATCTCTGGCGATACAGTGGTGCTTCTCCCAAACGGCCATGCACATTCCAATGGTACGAATAATCCATCGGGTTGGAATGAATTCAAATGAATTTGAACCATCTCTGTCCATGGCTCAACAGGAAGCACATTTGAGCCACCATTCCTGTATCAGTCACTGGAGTAGGGGGTTATCGGTGCGCGTGCCATACACGCAATTCACCCAACTGAGATCTTCGTGGATTAACGTTGCACATACAGACAAAAGTGTGACAACGCTTTGGTTGATAGTTTTGGAGCACGATTGTGCTCAGTTTGGTTGTCTCAGATACACTAGTAGATAAACGGAAATGTACACTGTTGCTAAAATGTGAAGGCTGCGATACTAGCGAACAGTGGACTTGAGGTTTGATGTACAATTCTCCGCAAATGAAGGTTAGTGCACACAGGTGGCCAAGTACCCTACGACCGAAAAAAGTTCGCGTCATGGCTCAATTCCAGATTGTATCACCTTTATCAAGGGATGTTCAGTAGAATGTAGGTGACGTTGGCACCTATCATATTTTGGTATCCTAATCAGTGCTATGTTTTGAGAACTTCAGTGTAGTAACACAAAAGGGGCCCAGTTGATGATCCGGGATTGAATCATGTCTCAGTCACATATTCCGCGGGGAAGTAAGGAGTGTGTGGTTGTGAATTTCGAATTAGTCACACAACTGCAAATGATTGGTCCACCGACTGATATGGGTCGCAATTTCCCCGACCGCTTTTGCAGGTCTGCACTTCACCCGTTTAACGTCCAGTTGCTTCGTTTACCTTCTACGAACTAATCCATTCATTTTAACGACGGGTTTTATGCAACACTGATGAAAGCTTTGCTCAGTTTATTGTGCACGATATCCCGCGAACTCTAACAAACTGGGTGCTTGTAGTTCCACAATGGCCTACGGAACTATTCGCCATGTAGTACAAGTGAGCTCGAGTTGGCCCAGTGACTGAGGCGCGAGCTTAATGGCCGAAGGGTCGGTTGTTCGAACCAGTCCTCGACTGCCCTTGTCTAGGCTTGGGTCAGTTTGTCATATCCCAGCCTCCGTACTTCCTTTGGGTAGTATCACAGCGAAAGGGTGTTGCAGTTGGACGTCTTTCTCACCCTAATTTCAAATATTACTGATGAAATCAAAGGATTGCTCCAATTAAGAAAAATAACAAGTAGATTGTAGAATGAAAATGTTTAGTGTTGTCCTATTGTTCCCTGTGATAAGCACTAGATAGCTACCTCCAAATCAATCCAAATGAAGCAATTACTCCAGCAGCAACAGTTTAATTGGATACCAGTGGGTAATACCTATGCAGTAACCGCCCATAGAAATCAGGTAAAGCATTGCAATCGAACTGTCACGAAGAGACTGAACCTTACCGTGGTGTGACGGTTTTCACACCTCAGCGATCCATCGAGCTATACTGGGGAGTGTCCCCGTGACAGTCACAGTCTCTCACACCAGGTTGGTCAATGGTTAGAGGTCTGACGAACACAGTCTCCTGGCCCTCCAGGTTGGGGGTTGGAACATGTGGCGACTTGTTTTGTAGAAATGATAATGCATTCGCATTTCTCGCCAAACACCGCTACCTCGCGGCTAGGCTTTTGAGCCAAAGGCTTTGGTTGAGGACCCTAATCGTCCCCCTGTCTAGGTGTAGGCGCGCTGGCAGTATCCCAGCTCTTGTACAACTACGGCAGTGAAGCATCAGTGTTGAACACTGATGTCATACTGTCGATGTTGGTAATGATTGCAATCGAATAAGAAGTTTGAAACAACACTGGCCCTGACAATTTTGGTTTGCCGTACACGGGGCACTGATGTGTATGACAATGAGACTGAATTACCTGTTCAGCCCTAGGGTTCCAAGGCTGTCGTTGATCAACGAACCCTTTTAATACTGATTTGAGAGTTGTCTTCCCTGGCTCAACAGCATTGGATGTCGATCCAATGAGCGCGTGACTGAATCATTCGCCCCTTAGATGATGTTCAAAGCTGGATACCTTTTGTGATGCTCCGGATAGAGTTAGACCGAAGGAAGAGAAAATGTGCACAGTTATTCTATGGTGTTTTCAATTCAGCAAACAGGTTTTAGTAAAGCCATTCCAAATGCTTCCTCCGACAATCAAACCAATGCATTTTCACGGCATGAGAAACAAGCGTATCAAAACGATTTTCAAAAAAACTGTTATTTACCGATCACAAGTAAAGTTTTAATCAATCCGAGAAATTCCATTTGTATGTGGCTATTCAGGAGAAGAAACTGCGAGTAATTTCGGCTATTTTTTAAGTGAAGGCTATCAGGTTGCTCGCTAGTCACTTAATGGTGAGCAGAAATACTGTTCTCCGTTCAGCAGCATCTTAGCCAAGATTGTATCCAACCCAGCAGAGTGGAATTCATAGTAGTTCCGGATTCAAAACAGATGATCAGAGCGGTATAGTATAGAAACGCGAGTGAGAGCTCAATACAGAACGGAATGTCATTCACAAGCCTTGAAATCCAGTACTCATTATCATCATCAAAAACAGCAACATCATTGTTGCCAATGATGCTTCACTGCCGTACAACCATAAAGTTCGTTTAGTTATATATATATAGAGAGCGAGGGGCAGTCAGTTCGAGTACAGTACTTGCGTCCTGCGTCCTTGTTTCTGACAGACAACATACATCAATACAGAGGGAATCCAGCGTACGCGCAAGAGCCACCTGTTGACCTGCTTGCTTCAGTGTGCGAACATTGAAAGTGGCTAAGTAGACAGGCTTTCGGGGTTTGAAAACAGACTCCGAAGTGTTTAGGGTTGTAACTGAACTCAGACGTGCAGAAGCTGCAACTGAGTGTGATGCAGGGCGAGCAAAACGGTCAGTCCT